ACAGAATCTGAAAATTACTTGTTAATAAAAGTGAGAGAAATACAAAGTGTTTTGCAGTTATTAAGAGTAGGAGATTTAGAGATTTTGTATGTAAGAGACCAGATAATTCAAAGAGAATTTGGTAATTTTATTATAAAATTGGATTTAAATCCCTACTAATATTATAAATGTGAATGTAAGTTTGTTTGTTACGCTTTCACGCAAAAAACTACTTAACCGATCATTATGAAACTTTTGTACACATATTCTTGGAAGTATTAGAAGTAACATAGGATACTTGTTATTAAAGAAAAAAATTTATTTTTTACGAAAGATAAAAAAATTGTTTGTCAAAAAATTTGAATCACATTGATTCAGTTCTATTGGAATGTAATGATCTTTGATATTTATCGAAGGACTTCAACGCGAGCGAAGCAATGGGTAAATGCTAGTTAAAAATAAAATCATTTTTTTTATAAACAATTGTTTATAAAAAAGTAATCTTTGTCATCACTTTTTTCAACTGCTTTGAAGATTTAGTATGATTTTCATTTAATATCATACGAAAAATATAAAAAAAATCATTATCTATAATATCATATAATTTAATATGATTTGATATAATTATACATAATTGTTTATAATTATACAAAAATTACAAAGAACATCATACATAAATTTTTTAAATTATACATAATTTTATATAATTATATACAATTCTACATAATTATAAGCAGTTATACAACCATAACCAAAATACAATGTAGGATTATGTATAATTATATATAATTTTATATAAATGGTTAAACACGAGAAAAACATTGTATGAAATTATATAGAATTATACAAAATGACCGAGAAAATTACGTAGAATTATACATAATTATGTATGATTATATATACTCTTACATAATTATACAAAAATAGCTAAAATTTTTTATAGAAATATGTAGAATTACACATAATTTTGCATAATTATATGAAATTTTATATTATAATATATAATTTTGCGTTGTTATATATAATGATACAAAAATCATCTAAACTATCATATAAAACGATATATAACTATATATATGATTATGCATAATTCTGCATAATTATATATAAATATACAAAATTAAGGAAAAAATATATCCAGAATTATATACAATTATATATAACTCTGAATAATTATACATGAATCATATATAATTGCACATAATCTTTTTTACCCGGGCATGATCAAAAAATTGAATTGAAATTGCTTGAATCTAAATGAATCAAATAGAGTCCATAGGAAATGTTAGATTTTATGTGAGATCACTCGATCAACTGAAAACAGATCTCAATTCGTTCATGAATAATAAGTGAATAAAAAAAGAGTGTGAAAATTCGTCCGATGAGGCACGGGGCGCGAGTCTATCATACACTATATATATCCGTGCTCGTAACCGCGCCCCGTGCGTGTGAAATATCTGCACGGGTGTACGGTATGCAAAGACCTGTGCACCGTGCTTCATCGGGCAAATTCGCAAACTTCCCCAAAAAAGCATATCGACGGTCGAATTAATAATTGGTCTAACTCCTTATTTTTTAGAGGGTGATTTTTTACCATGTTGATGTAGCAATAGTTCAATTATAAATTATTTGAAATATCCAAATCAAAATATTATACCTTTATAAGATAGATTTTGAGAAATTTTGAGAAATCTCAAAAAAAATCGGAAAAATTTTTTTTTTAATGTGGTTTTTTTGGAATAACTTTTAAACGGCTTCATCGATTAACTCCAAAAACTAATCCGCCCTTGAGCTTGAAAAACCACGTCGATCACCGATAATCCGGTCAAAATCGGTTGATTCGTTCGAGAAATACATGAGTAAGGCCTCGTGACGTTGTCAAAGCATTTGGCAACGCAGGTAGGCTCAAAGATTATGGGGATGACGGTAGACAAGTAACAAACGAACGAGACACATACAGGGATAACTAAATATTATAGCTCAACAGGCCTTACGGCTACACCTCCCCGCATGGGCCCCGCTGGGCAACTGGTCGGATTGTCATTATATTACCGGCCAGGCCAACGTAGTCGTTGAATGGAGTTGTATAGGGGAGGTTTGATACAGTGAAAAATTACGAGGACAGATTGACATTATATTAAATTTCAACTCCATTCACATTTTGTCCAGTGATAGCGTAAAAGCTGGAGGGCAGGGTTTTTCCTTGCCCGGCGAGTTGACAGTGCTTTTGTTTTGGTGAGATTTGGGTTTTATTTTAAGTGCGTGTATAGCTTTTTTAAGCCCAGGAAACGGCCTGTTCGAAAGGAGGCAGACGAAAGTCTCACCAAATAACTCGTTCGAGAAATAGCGTGACCGAAAGAAAACCGATAAAAACCGAAAAAAGTGTTTTTTCACATAACTTCGATATTTCTTTTCGGATCGTTTTTGGTGAAATAGAATAATTTTTAAAGCTCAAAAAACTGCGTCGATTGCCGCCAAGAACGTACAAATCGGTTGATTTGATCGAGAGATATCCTCGACGAAATATTTGGAAACAAGGATTTTTGCAACATTTTTTGGAATAACTTTCAAACAGCTCTACCGATCAATTTCAAAATCTAATCAGC